TAGAATTCCAAAAAATGTTCAATTTTTCAAAAATATTCTTGAATTTAAATTTAGAAGTCCTGAATTTAAAAACGACTTTTTAGAATTTTTTCATAAATCTAAAAATGTTCCCAAACTTAAAATAATGTTCACGATTAAAATTATATTAAAATTTCCAAATTAATGCGGAATATTTTTTCATTAGTCCAGAATGTATCATGGATTTTTAAAATGAGCATAAATTTTAAAAATATTTCAGAATTTAAAACATGTCAAAAAATAAAAATGTTGTCAGCTTTTAAAAGTTTCCACGAATTTAAACATGCTAAAAATTCAAAAATAGTAACGGATTGTAAAAAAATTCAACATTTTCAAAAATCTTCAGATGTTTGAAGAATGTTCGGGTATTAATTATTTTTATGAAAATTTTAAAATGTTCACATATTTAAAAATTTGCATTAATTTTTAAAAAATTGGAGATTTATAAAAAAGTTCATGATTTCGAAAATATTTCAGAATATAAAATATTCTTGTATTTTAAATAATGTTCTATTGAATTTAAAAAATTCCAGGTTTGTTTTCTTATTATTTTCATTTTTGTATTGGAGTTTTAGAGTTAATTTTTATATTTTGAATTAGTGAACATTCTTTCAATTCAAGAACATTTATTCTAATTTCATGGATTTTTTAAACCCTGACCATTTTTTAAAATTGACGAATATTTTCAAAATTCGCATTATTTTTTCAAAAATAATGGAAGTTTTTAATTCCTGAGACTTTTTTGAAAATTTGCTTCCATTTGAAAATTTCCTACTCATTTTTAAATTTCCATATCATTTTTTTTATTTTTTAAACATTTTTATAATTCATGAACTATTTATGTTCTTGCATAATTTCTGATAAAATGGTTTAATCATTAGAAATCGGAGTTGATTTTTCTGTTAGCCACCATCCGTTCATTTTTCTAGAGTGAGCGCCACTTAATGAAAAAACACAGCGTACAAGCGAGCTATTGGCCCGTCCCATAGCAGTCGCTGCTATAGCAAGCTGTACATTTTGTGACTCCATTGTACTAGCGAGCTACATGCCCCAAAGAACTGCAGACGCCACCGCCAGAGAAATTTTGGTCCCATCGCCTCGGGCTGCCATCTTGGCGCTAAGAGAGGGGGGAGCATCAGATCTTCAAGAGTTCTGTATTCTTTGCCAACATCTAATGGTGATCGTAGTTTTGTCAAAATAAATTACACTCTTTTTTTGGCGGTGTCATAAAGTTAGAGAGTTTTGTGCCATACAGCCAATTTTTTGGTGTGATTAGTTTATATTAGTGTGTTAAATTTTTTTGTTAGTTTGATTTGGAGGTGAAATCTTCATCGACACCATGGAGGGGATAATCCCCGGCCAAGTTTTTTTTAGAACGAAGACGCACGATGCGTCCGACCTTAAATTAATAAAGCCCACCAACAAGCAGCATCCAACAAGTTCAACACAGAGACTACAACAGAAGGTAAGTGGCCGAAGCCAAAAGTACGAAACATGCAACCGGCCTCAGCCTGATAAAGAAAGACAGCAACACTAGCACACAAGCAGCCAGTCCAAAATAGCACCACGAGCAGCATCTTAGTGACGGACTTCAAACTGAATCGTGCGGATCCGCTCCATGGCCTCCATCATCCGATCTGCATCACGCCGTTTCCCCAACTGTGTCCATGTCTGGAGAAACAAGTGGCATTTGAAAATAATATCAGCAGGATGGTTAAGGAACTTGTGTTCGATAGTCATCTTATTACGGGTGGTCCATAATGACTAGCACAGCGCCCCTACGCATCGCCACAGCACGCGCCCGAAGCTACCCCGATGAGCGAGAAGGATCCCACGTAGGTCCGACGTCGTATGGGGATTCCAGTTCTGCGCAAACGCCTCACAGACGGCACTCCAAGCAAAACGAGCTAGGTGGCATTTGAAGAAGATGTGGTTAGCATTTTCATGCGCTCCACATAACGCGCAAGACCCATCCGAAGGGCCGTGCCTAATGGCAATGTTGTTAGAAGAGGGAAGGCGGTCACGGAATAATTGCCAGAGAAAAACTTTGATCTTCATAGGAATAGACGCTTTCCATAGCCCCCTAGCTATGTCAAGAGTCGGTCCCACGGTCAGCTTATTGTAAAGCGACTGGACCGTGAACTTTCCGGAGCTCGAGAGGGACCACGAGACCGTGTCGGCCTCAGGGCAGAGAGATACACCCTGCAAGGCAGTTAGGAGCCCATCCCAACTTGCCCGTTCATGGGCGAGGAGTGGTCTTTTGAGAGAAATGGCTGGTGGGTTAGATCTGAGCGCGTCGGCCACCAAAATGTCGATGTTAGTGGCAAGTTGATAGATGACGAAGTGGCTAAGCCAAAGAGGTTCTGACCCAAGCCAATGGTCGAGCCAGAACCTCGTGGAGTTCCCGTTCTTAACGCAGAACTTGGCCCCTAGCGTGAAGGCAGGCTTAACAGCCTGAATCCCGTTCCAGAAAGGCGATCCCTTCGCCTTTGAGGTGAGGAAATTCCCATCGGGGAAATATTTGGCACGAAGGATATCGGCCCAAAGCCCTTGTTCATTCTGGGAAAGTTTCCAGATCCACTTGACAAGGAGCGCTACATTCATGAGTTTGGAGTTAAGGATCCCAAGGCCACCGAATTTCTTGGGGCGGCAGAGCGCCACCCACTTGATCAGATGGTATTTCTTTTTTGTCCCAGTTCCTTCCCAAAAGAACTTAGACCTAGGGGTGTCGAACTTGGCATGGACTCCATCAGCCAGCAGGAACATGCCCACAGTAAACAGGGGCAGGGAGGACAAGCTAGAGTTTGTCAGAATCAGCCTAGCCGCAGAAGATAAAAACCTGCCGCGCCAGGGACTAACCCGGTTCGCCACCTTACCGTATAAGGGTTCCCATTCGAGAATCGAGATGTGTTTGTCCGAGATGGGAAGGCCTAGGTACTTAATTGGAAAACTCCCTAGTTTGCAGTTAAGAAGGTTGGCAATACGAGTGGCACGGGGATTGTCCATCCCAATGGCAATCACCTCACTCTTCAAAAAGTTTATCTGCAGGACGGAGATGATCTCGAAAGCAAGGAGAATGAGCTTAATCGAGGCTATACTATGGTCATCGGGCTCGAAGAGAAGCAAAGTGTCGTCCGCATATTGTAAATGGGTGATCCCTCCGGGGGAGAGGTGAGGCACCACACCACGAATGTGGCCGGCGTTCTTGGCCTTGTTCACCATGGCCGAGAGGGCATCCGCAACAAAGTTGAAAATCAAAGGCGAGGAGGGGTCTCCTTGTCTGAGACCTCGTTTGTTGCGGAAGAAGTTCCCCACTTCTCCATTAATCGACACCACAGTCTGTCCCCCCGAGACAAGTTGCATGATGCGATGAATGAAACCCGACTCGAATCCCTTCCGAGTCAGCACCTCGCGAATGAACTCCCAGTTCATTCGATCGTAGGCTTTCTCGAAGTCAAGCTTAAAGAGCACGGTCGGCTGACGCGTGCGCTTAAACTCGTGAACGATCTCTTGCAATACTACCGGACCTTCTAGGATGTTACGGCCTTTGAGGAAACCCGACTGGCTACGGTCGATCACACGTTGTGCAACCGGGGCAAGTCTCGTAGTGTATGCCTTGGAGCATAGTTTGAAAGGCACGTTAATAAGGGTGATGGGGCGGTATTGCTTAACCGAGTCAGCCCCTTTAACTTTAGGGATGAGGCTGATGACGCCAAAGTTAAGGCATGAGATGTCTACTGTGCCTAGCGCAAACCCGTTGATAATATCGTAGAAAATGTCCTTGAGCGCCAGCCAAAACAGCCGAAGAAAGACATCGGCCAGCCATTCGGCCCTGGAGCGGTATCGATCTTCATCGAGCCAAGTGCATCGTCGATCTCCCCCGTGGAGAAGGACAAGGCCAGGCCATCATTTTCGACTTGCGACACCCGTGATTCTTCCCCCCAAAAGTCCTCACGGAGGCGTAAGGGCTTCTCTTCCGCTGTACCCAACAGGTTAAGGAAGAAATCGTAAATATGCCTCGAGATTTCGGCTTGGCTGACCAGTAACCCGTGGTCCGATTGCAATCTCAGAATTGAACATTTCCTTTTGCGGCCGTTGGCGAAGGCGTGGAAATAGCCCGTATTTGCGTCCCCCTTGGTAATCCACTTGACGCCGCCCCTACGGCGCCAATATTCCTCCTCTTCCCTGAGGATGGCCAGCACTTGATTTTCGATGGCATAACGGTTAGCCCACTCCGCTTCTGAAAAGGAACTAGAGTCAGCTTGAACGTCAAGGACTTTAATTTCCTCGATAAGAGCTTCCCTAGCTCGTTTAGCTTCACTTCCGTGGTTTGCACCCCACCCTCGAAGGAAACCACGCAGGGCCCTGGCCGCCGAAACCCAAGTGTCAAGAGGACCCCTGGAGCGACCAGCCGCAGCCCTAGCTTGCTCCCAACGTGCGAGGAGCATGGGTATGAAACCCTCTACCTCGAACCACCCTGTTTCGAAGTAGAAACGTGGGCTACGCTTGATCCTATCCTCCCCAGAGGCCAGGATCAACGGAACATGGGCATGCACAACGTGTATCTTCACCACGGCGATCATCTCCTGATCCCTGATAAATATGTATTCTATCCTTGCACTGATCTGTTGGTGACTAGACTCTGAGTTATTGCTGCATTTTGTGAGCCATGTCAGGATTAATGAACTGTGTTGGTGACTAGACTCTGAAACACTGGAGACACGAACTGTGACATGGCAAAATTGTAGCTACCTTTTTCTTTATACTATAGTAGACTGCAGCTGTTTTTGAGCACTTAGAAGCATGCATATGTGCAGTCGATTGCAAAAGCCAAAGTAGGTATACACACATTCTCGCTCGACCAAATACTAGTACGGATGCAGGCAACTCTCAAGTTACGAGACACCATTTTCCACAAAACCGTATTTACTTTACGCCTAATGGTGACACTGCTGGTAGACGTCGCGAGAGAATTCACATGCTTAATTCTCCTCGGAGTTGCAACTACGGGCGGCTGGTGGTGCTGACGGGCACGTAGTGGTCTGCGCCAGCTTCTTGAGCTTGGCGATGATGGTGACCAGCTTGTTGTCGAGCCGGCTGACGATGCACCGGGGCAGCCACCCCGCCGCCGGGTCAAGCTGCACCACGTAGGTCACGATGCACGACTCGACGCCGTCGTCGTCAAGGAGCTTCTCGACGACCCACCCGGACTGCAGGAGCAGGCCCCGGCCGACAGAGCTCCGGCCCTTGGAGTCCCGCGGCAGAAGGCCCGCCGCGATCTCCTTGGGCAGCGACGCCACGGCCACCACCAGCGTGCCGTCGTCCATGGTCTGGCGCCGCTCGTACACGACGAGGTCTCGGCGGCGGAAGAGGCCGGCCGGCCGCTTGGAGGTGTCGCCGAACTTGAGGTGGATGATGCTCAGGTCGTCGCCCAGCTCCTTGATGTATGTCGCGTCGACCAGGTCAGACTCCCACTGCTGCACGTGATAACAGCAACAGCACATTGGATTGAGATAAACTTTTCACCGGAGGATAATGAAGGGTAAACACTTTTTTTTTTGAGAACATGAAGGGTAAACACATTGATCAGCTTAAATAGAGAAGTTGATATTATTTTGTGTGTGTGTGTGTGTAGTGAACTACATTATTCCAGCTAAGCATAACTAGTTGTCAGGGTTATAATGCAGTGTTAGTGGACCAGCTTTTCTTGTGAGGAATATTAGCACAGTAGCTACATCCAAAACGGTAGAAGCTCAATCTACCAGATTAGGGAACAGGACCAATGGACCATCCGAACATGCATGGTGGGCACCTAGTGCCATGATCAGCGAGTGATGTACTTAAAGAGGTTAGGTATTGATCTTTCCCCCCAACTTAACTTAGTGTAATACGCATTTTTTTGTCGCATCAAATTCACGGTTTTATCACATGTCTTCCTTCTGGAATAAAATGGGATTAATCACACATGCATGCATCTAGCTAATCATCCTCGTATGGCGTGCCCTCTGCTCGCTCTGGGATCTCGAGGTGCCAACTACCAAATGATTTGGCTCGTACTTGTGGGCTCGCAAACTCACGCGTGCCCGCTTGCGGCTGCTCCATGTCAGATGAAAATAAGTGCAGTACTACCCACCCACAGAATCAATTACTGTCCCCCTTCACGGTTGGCCTGTGTGTGCAACGCTAGCTAGGCCGCGAATGGAATTCGGTCACGGGTGTATGCATGCCCCAGGCACGGTAGACACGCACATGTGTTGGGTTGGCAAATCACGCGACGCGTTACCGTCACCTCCGTGGCCAATTAAAGCGGTCATAACTTGTCCAGCTAGTCAAGCCAGCTGCTGCCAAAGTGTCAAGACTAACCCATCATTATTGGCAAAATCATACTCCAATAACTACACTTCTGGTTCGTGAGCCCAAATCACCCACCAGACACCTCTACAGCAAATTCTCTCAAAACAGTTATATTATAGTACTCCTTCCGGCTCGAATTATTTGTCGCAGAAATGAATGTAGTACTATAGAAGAAGAAGAAAAGGAAATGAATATTTCACACGCGTTACCTTTGCGGCATCGACGGCGTTGGCGACGGCCATGAACTGCTCCGGCGAGACGGCGTAGAGCAGCCACCGGCTCCGGAACATCTGCCCTGTCCCCGACCGCCGCTTCGCTATCTCCACGCCGTTGCAGTACGCCAGCGTCTGCCACCCGTCATCCTCCTCGCCGCCTCCTCCACTTCCTTCCCCGCCCCGTCCAGCGCCACCGGAGTCCGACGCCGCGAGCAGCTCCTGGATGCAGCTCTCGCTAGCGTAGCTCACGTACCTCCTCAAAGAATCCTCACTTATGGACCTACAAACAAATTACAAACCCATGGCGCACATACACAAACACGATCAGGCTTGACCTTCATGTGAAGAACTGAAGATCACAATACAGGCTGACAAATTAAGAAGCAAAATGGGACATATGTCAACTGGTTAGCAATCACGCACCAAGACCTCGAGCAGACCGAAGGGGAGGAGGATGTGGGGGGGCTGCCATTGCTCATGCTTCTTCTTCTCACCAAGTTTGTGCTTGTGCCTAGGATGATGATGTTCTGAGATGAGGCAGAGAAATGGATGGATATCTATTGTTCGGCTTTCTGGTCGATGAAATGGCCGAGCTATGTAGCGAAGCTGTATTAGTAGCCTAGATGGAGCAGGTTTAGCTTTTATATATGGAGAGATTGGAGTTGGAGAGGCGAGGTTTTATGACGGAGAGGAGGAGTGAGTAGGAAACGGAGGTGGAGCCACATGCAGTGATCGTGGCACATGGAGATGTCAGTGACAGAGAGGGCGGTGGCCGGCCGGTGGCGTCTCTGCCCTCCGCCATACACCACAGGGTAAAATAAAGACAAAAGGGCACTAGAAAAATGCAAATACTTCTGTACTTTGCTCTCCAAATAATGGTATTTGTTCTGCTACCTAGGAACTTGGAACTTTACAGCATTTAACTTGATGAAGAGTTGTTGCATGTACATAACTAATTCGCCTAGTGCAATATATGGAGTACTCCTACATACAATGTCAAAAAGAAGACCTAATTTGCGCCAGAGTTGTTTGTAAGGCGATTTAGTGGTTGCATGCCGTGTATTTAACTAACCCTAGTGCAGTGCAAATGCCAGAGGTGGTAGCAGTAAGGATATATGCTTTTCCTTTGGAGATCACACAATAAAGAGATGAAGAAGCAAAGGTAGATGCCGGGGGAAGGTCTATGCACATGGCATGTTGGCAGGACTGCTCTACAAAGGAAAGAATTGTGAGCTTTAAGAGACTGACTTAATTATGGTTAAGTGAGATTAAAGTCGTGAATAAGCGGAGAGGTTAGAGGATTGCTTTTGGGGCGCTTGTCCTTCTTTTCTGTGGGGTTTGGGGGCTATGATATGCTCTCATTGCCTATACATGTGCCAACCAAGCTCCATGGGAGGAAGTGAATATATGCCACGTCAGAACCAAGAGGACCGTCGTGACCCTTCTCTCAACTAGAATTGGTTGTCATATTAAAAGTACTTAGGAAGTATAGTAGGTGCCACATTTAGTAGCTCCCGACGTGGAAGAGGTGACGGGATATGCTTTGTACGCTGACAAGCCGTGGGACGCGTAAATTTACACACCTGCTCCCTCCTCGCCACACAAATCGACACCTAGCTCGACCGCCATGTGTGGATGCCACCTGGTTGTGGCTCCCGGACAGATCAGACGGCATCATCATTCTAGCTAGAGGCACGCATATGCATGTAGGCGAGGCCATTGGGGTACGCGATGATCATCACGGCATCGATGGCGCGTAGCCTTAATTAGCAGCACGACGCTCTTGTTGGCGAAAAGTTGAAATTAAGCCCCGAAATCTTAATTTGGTCGCTTTTCCATACGATTGTCGATCGTGAAGTAAATTCAAGCTCGGTCAGCCGTGTTGTCCTCTGGGGGCTGGCACGTACGTACTGGTACGTGATTGCGTGCCTTTGAATTGCTGGCTAGGTAGGTCGCGCCATGACTTCGGGACTTGATCGATGTAGCGATCGATTAGCCTGTTCCTTGGACTTGGGCTGTCTGCTGTGAATGCCGCACAAGGTGGCAACGGGCGTGCACCGCCGTGCGTGCGATCGTCGTAAACATGAGTTAATTAACGTGCCTAATTCTTCATTGCCTACCAAGCAAGCGCGGTACAGGTACAGCCGCCTCTACACTTGGATGACAAGCTAGTTTGTATCTGTACGTGCATGAGGAGCTGCTGGGCATCTCCAACAGTATGTAGTTTAACCAACAACTTTGCACAAGCTTCTAGGTGAAATAGAGAACAATCACATTTATTTTCTTACCATCTATTGGATAGCTTACATATAATCCATTGGAGTAGTTGTATGATAACTTGTTGGTTGATGACATAGACATTCTACCAACAAAACTAACATACAACCTGTTGAAGATGCCCTAACGTGGGTTCGTGCATAACGATGCAGGCCGATGGTCAACTCCTCCTGCCATGCATGTGCTGCATCCTGATGCTCAATCGTGCATGGACAGCATTGGTTGACCGTCGGCCTGGCCATGCATGCATGCCTGCTGATCACTGATCAGGATGAGATTAATATATGTGGCCATGCATTGGTCAACTGTTTGCAACGAATGAAGAAAAAAGATAATAAATAAAATGCTCAGCAATACAAAAGTTCCAAGGTCTCATTTTCAACAAACAAATAAGAGCATCTCCAACAGACGTCCAAAAACTGCTCCGCGCGTTAAAGGCCGTTTTTTCTTTTGCGCAGAGACACTCTAGTAGATGCTGCAAAATAGTGCGCGCGCAAAAGAATTTAACGCACATGCTTAAAGCGTTATTGCACACTGCAAATGTTAGGCGCTGGACCGCGCGCTTCATAATTTGCACTACCTGTTTTTTTGGGCGCATATTTTTGGGCATGTGGAAAATCAATATTGGCCGTGGCGCGCTAAAAGTGTCACAGTGGCACTATAAAACTATTTTAGTGTTTGATATTTTTGCACCTTTGTTGGAGATGCTCTAAAAGCGCCAATAGAGCTGAATATTGCTTTTGGAGCTCGGGCTCAATAGACAGTAGCTAGGGGTATTACCAAAAATGCTAGATCTTTTTTAATAAAGGACATTTCATTGAACTAATTTATCAAGGTGATACAACCGCATCTAAAGAAGGCCCGGCCTCTGCATAATATGATGCACACAGCCAACAAGTCCAAACGACCAAAAAATAAACATAGTTTTGCAGCAAAAATGAATCAATTCAGCCTAGGGTGGGGTAGATCCTATACGGAGATTATACCGCCATCCATGGTGGGAGAAAACCTCCCTAGCCGTACGCTCCAGCCGTGTAGACGTCATCTTAAAAATGTCTTTGTCCTCCGACTTCTGCAGGATAGACCAAGTACGGAGCCATCGCGTACATGCATGAATAACCTGCACAGGAGAAGAACCACATATATTATTAAAAACCACGTCATTCCTGGTAAGCCACAATGCCAGGCATGAGGCAGCCGCCCCAACAAGAATATGTGTAGAAAATTGTTTATGAATACCCCGCAACCAATTGCCGAACATGTTACGCGCACTACTTCCGGGGTTTAGATTTGAAGCTACTTGAACTATGGCCCATACCGCACGAGCAAATTTACACTCAAAAAATAAGTGTTTAATAGACTCGTCATGTTGGCGAAAGACGCATGTCTTGCTACCTTGCTAGTTATGTCGTGCCAGATTATTTCTAGTTAAGATGACCCCTCTGCTTAAAAACCAGAGGAATATCTTCACTCTTAGAGGAATTTTTAGCTTCCACAATTTTTTTGTTATCAACAGGAACATCAAAATGAGTCATTGCATCGTACAAGGACTTGACTGAGAAACTGCCGTTTTGATACAGTTTTCATCGAAACTTGTCCGATTCGCTTGTCAGTTGAATGTCCTCTAGACGAGAGAGTAACTCATTCCATGCTGCCAGACGAGGGCCAAAGAGGTCCCTACGAAAAGAAATATCGGGGTTTTCTTGTCCCAAAACATGTTTGATTGTGACAAATTTATGTCTGACAATCCTATACAAGCTAGGGTACTGCATCATAAGGGGTCGCGCCTAGCCAGGTATCTTCCCAGAATTGAACCTGAGAACCATCTCTAACTGAGAAAGTACCAAACTGAAAAAAGAATTCCTTGGCCTTCATGACAGCATACCAAAAATGTGAATCACCAGGTTTCCAATGAACTTGAGAAATGGCTTTGAACCCCACATATTTGTTACGAATGATTTCCTGTCATACTCCATTCTCAGTGAGTAATTTGTAAACCCATTTACTTAGAAGAGCGATGTTTTTAATCTCAAGATCTTGAATTCCAAGCCCCCTTGACTTTTAGGTCGGCATAATATAGTCCACCTAGCCCGTCGATATTTCTTAGATTCATTATCACATTGCCAAAAAATCTGGATCTAAAGTAATCCAAACGCTGAAGAACCCCTTTCGGTAAGTGGAAGAATGACAACATGTATAGAACCATATTGCTGAGGACGGAATTGATCAATATCAATCTCCCCCATAGGACAAGAGTTTAGCTTTCCAAATGGCTAGCCGTTTCGCAAGTCTCTCTTCCACATGTTTCCACTCAGCGATAGTTAAGCGCCGATAGTGAATCGGAATACCTAGATACCTAATCAGGAACTGCCCAAGTTGGTAACCAAAAATGTCAGCATACTCAGTTGCGGACTCTGCAGCGTCGCCGAAGCAGAAAAGCTCGCTCTTATGAAAATTAATTTTGAGACCAAAGAGCTCCTCAAATGCGCATAAAAGCAGCTTGAGGTTTCTTGCTTTATCTAGGTCATTATCCATAAAAAGAATAGTGTCATCCGCGTATTGTAAAATAGACAGACCTTCTTCTACTAAATGGGGAATAACACCGCGCTAATCTGGCCAACCACCTTAGCCCTCTGAACGATAGCTAATATATCGGCTGCGGTGTTGAACAAAATAGGGGATATGGGTCCCCTTGGTGAAGACCCTTCTTAGTCTGAAAATAGTTATCAACATCATCATTGACTTTGATAGCCACACTACCTTCAGAAACAAAATTCTCAACCCATCGGCATCATTTTGATGAAAACCCCTTCATGCGTAAAGTTTGCAATAGAAAGGGCCATTTTACTTTATCATAGGCCTTTTCGAAGTCAATTTTAAGGATGACTCCGCTCAACTTTTTACGGTGAAACTCATGTACAGTTTCATGTAATACAACCACTCCATCTAGTATGTTGTGTCCTTGCATAAACATTGTTTGAGTGGGTTTGACCACATGGTCAGCCACCCTGTTCAACCAATTTGTGGCAACCTTCATAAAGATTTTAAAGCTGACGTTTAGAAGGCAAATCGGTCGATATTATTGAATACGACTAGCCTCCTTAGTCTTGGGAAGTAGAATAATTTCCCTAAAGTTTAAACGGGCAATATCAAGGTTTTCGGTATGTAGTTGGTTAAACAACTGAACCAAGTCCACCTTAATCATATCCCAAAAAACATTGATAAAACTCCACCGGAAAACCGTCTGAACCAGGGGCCTTGTTGTGTTCCATTTGAAACACTGTGGTCTGAATTTCCTCCTCAGTTAATGGAGAGGTTAAAAAATCATTTTCCGCCTCCGGAACTTGAGGGATGTCATGAGTATGAGACTCATCTAGTGTAAAGGAACTTTCAGCTGAAGGTCCAAAAAGCTCTTTGTAGTACTTAGTAATAAAGTTTCTGAGCGGCACATCCCCCTCAATACAGCCTTCGCCCTGGTCAAGAGCGAAAATTCGTTTCTTTCTATGCCTTCCATTGGCCATCATTTGAAAGTATTTCGTATTATCATCGTCTTGAACAAGCGAGTCGGCCTTGCACCGTTGGTACCATTTAATCTCTTCCTCGCGTAAAAGGTGGGCAATATGCTAATTTAGATGCCTTTTTTTCTCAACCTCAACAGCAGAAAGGGGCCTCACCTCCGCAATTTTATCAATGGCATCGATTAAGGTAGATAGTCGCAACTTATCCTTTTTGTATATGCCAGCGGTATGTTTAGCCCATCAACGAAGGAATCGACGCAAGGCGCGAATTTGATTATTCCATCATTGAATGGGCGTGTTACCCCGAGGTTGACGCGCCCACACCTTCTTAACCAGATCATGGAATCCGTCTCTAGTGAGCCATCCCAGTTCGAATTTAAACTGTGGAGTTTTAGAGCTTGCAGTTGTTTGACCAAAACCGGTTAGCAATGGAGCATGATACGATAAGGCCTCAATTCTTTCTAGCACCCGTACCGAGGCAAGGGGATATTTATATACCCAGTCGGTGGTTTACTAGTACCTGGTCAAGTTTTTCGTAAGTTGTAATAGATCGCTTATTGGCCTAGGTGTACTAACGACCAGACATAGTAAGCTCTCGTAGGTCCAAGTTGTCAATAACAACATTAAAGAGGAAAGGCCATCTAGTGTCAAACCGATCATTTTTTTTTCGTGCTGGTATTGAAGGATATTGCAATCCCCCCTATTAACATGGGGTGAGGATTGTCCCAACAGGTATTAACCAGTTCCTTAAGAAAAGCGGACTTAAACTCCTCTTGAGCGGCACCATATACAACCACCGGGCCGGACTCCAAAGGAAGTTGTCAGACTTGTTGCGAAGGTGAAATTTGATGTGATATTCACGCTTCAACGTGGACAAAAGTTCCAGGTATGTCGAGTGGATGCCAAGCAAGATTCCACCTGACCTTCCGGATGGGGGTAAGACGTGCCATACATAATCATAACCACATGAAAAGTGGGCAAGATCACGTGTCTAGAAGTCACGTTTACCCAACTCAGTGATGGCCACAAAGTCCAACACATGATCCCTTACACAGTCGGCAATATGTTTGTGTTTAGCCAAGTCATCATGACCTCTACTATTCCAAAACATGCCTCTCATGATGAACCATTTTTATGTTTAGATACCTTCGCCCTCTTAGACGAGCGCCCTTTTTTTTGTTGAAGTGGACTTGTTTTTTCATACAGACGCGACAAGCCCTCAAAGCATAGTGCCGCGTACCGTATCATCCAAGTCTACTTCAGTCGTGTCTTTAACCAGATGGGAAAGAAGCTTGCCATCATGATTGGCATCAGCATCCTCATCCTCCTCATCCGACACGAGAGGGTCAGAATAAGTCGACAACTTAGGAGCAACCGTAAGCCGGTCAAACTCCATTTGTTTAAAAGCACTAATAGAAAGCTCTACCTCTTTCTCATTACGTCCCAATGAAACTCCAAGGCTAGTAATATTTGTAGAAACTCTAGAATTATCAAAGGACAAAAAAGATTTACGAGAAGGAGTACCTCCGAAGTCGAGGTTGCGGGATGCCGTCCTACGCATGGCCTTGGTCAAGGAGTCCTCGTCAGTAGCTGCTGAACCATCAACACCAACAGAGTGACGACCGTTGCGCCTCATCGGTAAGGGTGTGAAGTCAGCTGTAGTTGCGGTCACCGCGCCCTGGAGTGGTGGGGTAGAAGGGCGCGACGGAGCTAGATAAGACCAAGAGGGTTGCACCTCAGCCCCCGATCCCTCGAACGATGGTGACAACGTGGGCGGCGTCGAAGCCCCGGGCGTCGTCGCCCCTGGAGGTGTCGAAGGCGTAGAAGACAATCCTCGCAGCTCCGCCATCGCTGACTCATGGTCAGTCCGAACCGACGGTGAGAAAATGACTCCCCACCGAGCTGATGATGCCGGCGTGCGTGACAGTGGTAGGGTCGGCGACGAAGAGGCCACAACAAGTGCCTTCTCCTGAAGGCTAAGCCATACCTGGGATCCGTCATCTAGGCGAGGCGGTGCTGCCACTAGTGACGCAGCCCGCGGCGCTAAAATGCTAGATCTACAAAAGAATTTCG